AACTTCTGGAATTAATAGCACAATGTTTGCGAAAAAGAAAAATCACGCAGACATTGGATGAGAAAAGAAACAATGAATCTGTGTCGTGTTGAATCAACACTACTTTAAAAGCGATTTTTCGATTACGGCGAAGTTAGAATTTTGACACGCTTTCGACTGGTATCATAGACTTGCTACGCACACTTAGCTCGCATCAACAACGTAGGTGAACCTGAATATATGCTCATACCAAAGAAGATAGAAATGAAGCAGAAATGAGAGAAAGAAATGTTTATATGTTTCAGTGTGTCCTTGAGCAATGAAGTGAGACTGTATATCAAGTGATGTAGTATATCATTACTATAGTAGTGTTGGAGCTCAAAGCCTAACCATAAAACTCACGCAAATAATGGGAAAATGGATCTTGACTAGAAAATGGATCTTGACTATTTCCATGTTCAAGGAAAAATAATGCGGACTAGAGACCTTCTAGATTGAATGACTTCCCAACATTTTCATATATCATTATAACCTATACGTAATCATGTCTTAGGATCTTACTAATTGATCCTTTTCAGGACTATCTACCACAGTACCACTATCAATCAGCGCATTGATATTAGTCACCCCTGACCTATCGAATTTGTTGATGTATGGGCCTTTACTAGCCCGGTGTCCTTCTTGGACTTATTTATCCTCTTTAACTTGAATTGTGCATCGTTAGATCAACCCTATTTCTAATATTTCGTCAAAAATTACCTAATGCAATCTAACGATCAATTTTACAAATTCTTTTAAATATTATTTCTAAAAATATAAAATATTTTCACTCCTACCACCTAAGATAAGTCATTGTCATCCACATTGGCACGCAAGTGTAGATGTGCAAATTTGAATCCCAAAGTCGTAAACCAACAAAGACTCCAAGAAGAGGGAAAGGGAAAGAAAGTCGAAAGTGGGGCAACGATGAGCCCTATGATATATGTTATGAAAGTCGGTGCGTTGATGACGCGATTTATTTTATTTTTTTCCTAATTTCACAATCATTTTCACACATCTGATGATCTCTTACTTGGACTCTAATTTGGCCTTGTGCTAAATTATAATGTGTTAACGTTGTAGAGCCACATCATACTTTTTCAAATCTAACGTGTCTCCATATTTGATTGCTTTACTTTATTCGTTTTTTCAATAATTTTTCAATTCTAACACCACCTATTTTTGGAATTTTCTTATTTCTTTATCCACAAGGGCCAAACACATTATTTTAGGAAAATTTGATTGTGTTTACTAATTAAAAAAAAATTGTTATTTTTAAATAAAAGGACATTTTACAAATAGATTAAAAAAATGAAAATATAATACTTTTGATGAAAAATGTAATACTTTTATATACAAAAAAAAAATGTAATACTCTCTAGAAACCAAAACTTTCAAGTTGACCTCTCGCAATGGTTTTGATTGTCGGGAGAGATCTTAAAATTTGACGTTGATGGTGGTGGGTTTTGGGCTAAAATTTATTGAATTGTGTATATTGGATATTTGGATTAATGGATTTGCAAAGTGAATTTTATCTTTTTGAGTTAAATGGTTGTGAGCTTATGTGTGTGTGTTTTTTTTAGTACTACTAACTCTATTACAATGTAGTATTTGTTCATAACTACTTTCTCAATCTACTGAAGTATAAAAAGTCAATATCACCCTCGACTTTTCATTTGGGAGAACCACTTCGTGCCATTAGACCACAATGTCATTGGTGAGCTTATGTGATTATTATTACATATACCGAGAAATAATAATACTTTCATCATTTTAAGTAAAGAGGAAAAATAAAAACTATAATTCTTTTTTATATCAATGACACTATATATATATGTTTAACTTTTTAAATACTTCATATGTCTCATTTTACATGTCATATTTGCTATTTATTGGTCGAACAAACTAACTCTATCTTCTTTGCTTATTATTTTCTTTGCTATTTTTAAATTATTATTAAATTTGATTTTTTATGTTTAATAGTATTTTTAATGTAATTTTTAAATATATAAATTTTATATACTAAACTTTACATTATGAAAATTAAATTAAAAATAATTTTAATTAAATTTCGTTAATCGAATCAAATACATAAAATGGTATGGAGAAAGTATTAAAATGCAAAATGTATTTTCTCACACCACATGAAGATATACACTATAACACGCAACAGTTGGCCATGGTTCCCAACATTTTGAATTGTACTATATACATACGAGGATATGAAACTTTAACATCTCATTTTCTTTGTGTTCCCCGTCAAAAGTGTCATCACTTCTCTATGAGACAAAGACACCGGCCACCAAAATAAATGATGCTGCGTAACCATTTTCCCACCATCATTTTTTTTTTTTAATGTTTTTAATAACCCAAAGTTACTGGCTTCACCGATTATATTTTAGACCCATGAACTCACCCCATTCATGAGAAGGTAAACAAAGGAAGTAAATCGAGCTAATTTAGTTTCGATACTCTCATACAGTCATACTCAACACAAACTATATATACACTTATGGGCGCACAATAAGTGATAAGTCTAACTCAAACCCAAACCCAAACCCCAACCTTGGGGCATATTTTGATTTTTCTCAAAATGATAAATATTTAGACAATTAATAATAAAATTAATAAGTTTTAATTTTTCGGTGAAGCTCGAAGTCATGATTAATTTTTTTAAAAATAATTTCAAAATTCTAGTTATTTTGGTAAGGTGTTAGCATTCTTTTATCACTCTCGTTATATATATACTTTCATTTTGTTTGGCAACTTTGCTCTAATTTTTTATTATTTTTTTTAAGTTAGGTAAATTGTACCTTTTAGTATGACAGATCAGAATAGGTTTTTCGTGTGGGAAAGATTTGATTTCAATATAATGAAACAAATGTTTTGTATTACCTAATAATTAATAGGCTTTTTCCCAATTGTAGAAAATAAAGTTTCCACTAATTCCATAGAAAGCAAATAACAAATTAAATATATTTGTTTAAAATTATATCATTTTCATGCACTTTGTAAGATAAGATATATATACGAATAATTGAACAAAACAGTTCTTTCAACCCTATTGAACAAAACGTCTACCTTATGTACAATAAAAGACACAAATAGTAAAACTCAAATACACTTCTGATTTATTACTCGAAAATGTCATGACTTATCACCAAATAACCCGCATGGCCTGGGCAGTTCAGTTGGTCACATAAGTGAAGTTTGGGAATAATGATATGAGATCGAGTCTTACTAGCGGCAGTGTGGGAGCAACCAGGGCGTAGGAGCCCTTGTGATTGGAGATTCAACCTTTTTGGAAACAACAACTGTGATCATATTTAACAAAGAATCTCACAAAAAGAGAATCAAACTTGAAATCTAATCTTGTAATCTTGTAATTAATAAGTGTATAGTTCGATCAACTTGGCTGAAGTTAACCGTTGTATCATCTTCTCCTTTAGCCACCATTGATCAAATTCTCCTTTAGCCATCATTGATCAAATTGGGGGGACTGCCCATGAAGACAGACAGGAACCTATCCTAGTACAAAATTAAAGTTTAATTGAAATTAAGGTTTGAAACCTTATCTATGTGCAATTCAAGCTAAGCTAAGAAAAATGTTGGCCTCCAATCCATCATAATTGCCTTTATGATACAACGGTGTTCAGTCAGCAGTTTCCTTTGGGGAGTCCATTGCCAATCATTCCGAATCTTCTCCATGTTTAATTCAGTTCGCAAGATCAACATGGAATATCAATACTCAAGATCCGATATAAAGCAAATCTTGTTTGTCAAATACAATATCAAAGATAAAATGTTACAATCATTTCGATTAAATTATATCACACAAATGGGATAAAGCTATAACGACTAAAAAAAATGACAATACCACTTATTTATTTATTGATTATCATGAGTTGACCAATCACATCTCGCGTTTAAAAAAAGAATTTACTTATATTGTCACATCAAAATTGTAGTCGTTATGTCGAAAAAAATGTGGTCAAGTGGGTGGTGCATATATGACCCTCATAGTTGACTCATACCTAAAGGCCAGGTCACTTCTTGCCAGCACCCTTTCGGTTGTGCCCGTTAAGTTACACATGGTTTTTCTAATGCGATTTACCTCTCATATGTGGTTTGCAGACTATAATGTTGTATATTAAGAAAATAAAAGGAAACAAAATCCTAGCTACCATTTAAACTATTTTTTAAAATTTTTATTTTTCATTCAAATCTAATGAAATATTAACGAAAATGATCAAAACCCTTACATGAAAAATAACTAAGGAATAAAAAGTACTTACAGTAATAACTTATCTAGAATAATATTTATACTCACTGCTGGAATTCTGCATTTTTCCGACCACCGAAAAATGGTCGGAAAAGGGAGATTTCCGGTCGGAAATGCAGTTTCCGACCAACTTACCGACCATTTTATGGATTCGGAAAAAAAGCCCACGCTATTACCGACAACTAGTCATGGTGGTCGGAAATACCGGCTTCTTTTTTAGGAGGTCGGAACTATTAGTTGTTGGATAAAGAGAGCATATTTCCTACCACTGGTGGTCGGTAATTGGTCGAAATTATCATCCACCAGTGGTCGGTAAAATTTACAAAGAAAAAATTAAAAAATTTGAATTACCGACCACCTAGTGGTCGGTAAGATTTACTAATAAAAAAATAAAATTTAAAATTCTACAAATACCCATTCTCAATTAAAATTTGATTACATGATCGATTAAAATACTAATCTCTTTGAGCTCAATTGGGTAATAAGGATAGATAACCTTATCGTCAAAATGTATGTTCAACATTTGCAATCTCTGCAAGGAGCCAAGCTTCATCAATGAAAGGCAATTTGGCAATGCCCTTGACATCAAGAAATATTTTAATTCAGTTGCATGATAAACATCACAGAAGATATCCTTTCTCAGAAAGCAAAATTATAAATGTTTTAATCAATACCTGCCAAGAAAACCTCTTGTCATTCATGTCCACTCCAAAATCTACAAGCATAACAACCATATAAACACAATTCCATTACGTTTAAAAAAAATGAATACATTAAGCGATAAAAAATACTAGTGGGATAAAAATCAATAGTAGGCGAGTTTGGGTCTGTCATCAATCTCCTATAATGCTCGGGAAGCGCATGTAAACTCAGTTAGAACCCCAAAAAACACCATAGCGTGAAAAGAAATAAAGAAGAAAGATACTGGTACAAACCTTGCTGCAGGGAACACACCAAAAAAAAACAGAATATGAGATGAAAAACAATTAATAAGACAAAATCTCTAAATTAGTAGACCTTCTTTAATACAAATTGAATACCTTGCTGCCATCCGTCAAATACCCTCCCATCAACCTAAACTCCTTGTAAACAGCCATGAGCAAGTTAAAAAAATTCATATATCCTGAAACATAAAAACCTCTACAACAAAGTGCAAGTGAATAAGTACATTAAGATGGTAGAAATATTAGTTTCAAGTGCCTGTTAACATCTGAAACTCATTGAACTATGTGCTACTTATGAGAAGCATATGAATATATATAGTGCCAAAAAAGTTGGTCTGAGCAACACATCAACTTAAGCTCCATTTGGGAGAGCAATGCGATTCAGATAAATGCCAATTCAGATAAACCAATTAAGCTAAAATAAAGACTGACCTGCTCGCCGCCGTTGGCTTGAAAGTCCTCGCCGCTGCTGCCTCTTCAGCTAACACTTCATTATTCTTAATAGCAGTAAGCCAGAAATGTAGAACTCCTTTCTTTACGGTTTTGTCATTGATCTTCTTCACTTCATTATTCTTAATAGCAGTAAGCCAGAAATGTAGAACTCCTTTCTTTACGGTTTTGTCATTGATCTTCTTGGTCCATAGACACTGCTTCAGCTTTCTCACCTTCAACTTCAACTATACCATTCACTATTCCATATCTCTGCACGTTTTATTTTTTCACTTCATTATGAATTTGAGACACAGAATTACAAGCCAATGGAACAGCATATGTATAACAATAATATGTAAAAGAGCCTTACAAACCTTTGTATATAGTGCTAATTACTGACTTGAGAATGAAGTACATAAGTGAGTTCCATCTCCCATCTTCTCCTTCTGCCACTGCAGCTTCTTCTGCATAACAGAATGGTGCAGCTTAACAAGACCATCCCATGCATATATTGAGTTGTTCTGCAAAAGCCAAAGTTTCATCAGAAACTATCAAGAAAATCTTCTGAAGCAACAGAATTGAATGAAAGATTTAGACAACATATATAAATAAGACATGAAGTTAGAATAAAGGAAAACTTCTACATTCGAAATGCAAATAGATATTCCAAAAGAGCATATAGATTATTCGACATAACAAATAAAAAAAATGACATACTTTGCTATTCAGACATGGAAATGACATACTTCAGTTTCAGACCTTGATCCCATAGTTCAATTTAACAATGGTAGTGTATGCATTTCAACTACTATGAAGGGACTAAATTATGGTTACCAAAGATAAACTGACAAAAAATGTAAGATAAAATAGATAGAAGTAAAGCAATAGTAGCAAACACCAAAGAGAGAGCCTTCATATGCTAATGAAATAAGACCCAAAATTTAAATTTAAAAAAAAAAATCATTTATCCTTCAATCACTAAGTTCCCTTGATGACATTAAAATCACAGGATAACTCCTACTTAAAATAATACAAATAAATAAATAAATAGATGTCAAAATATATGCAAATAAGTTGAATAAAGAGGAACCATAATTGGAAAAGATCTTATAGTCTAGTGTTTAAATGCTTTAATGTTTCTTTTTGAGCCTGTAAAGGTTTCAGAGATTATAAACTAACTCCCTCAATTCTTCATCATTTGGTCATTGTGAACTTCTCAGAACTGATGCTCTCATATCAAATGCATGATGGAACAATTATATTCCCACATGTCCCAATGAAAACCCAATTTCTCTCAGTTTTATGCTAGTTTCTCAATGAATCCTATAACCAGTTTGGAACTCAAGTTGAGGAGGTTTTTGCAGTGGCTAAAGCAAGTTCAGTCAGTTCATTAGAACTCATTGAATACCTAAAACTTGTGTCCACAATATATTAAATTTAATCCTAAAATTTGAAAATAAAAAGTTGATTGAGCTTGCTATTACTATCATATTATAATATCAAATATACCTTTTCCATGCCTAAAGATGCGAGTGATGTGGTTTTTAGTATCCCAGACTCGAATCGTTCCATCCTCTGATCTAGACACCAACAGAGATCCATCCATACTGAAAGCTAAGCATGTAATGCCTGTTTCTGTTTCAAGGACAAAGTCAAATCATTTAAAGTAAAATCACGAAAAGACAGCATAGGTAAGTCAAGTATCCATTCAGATAAGACTTCCCAAGAATTTAATGAAGAAAACGAAATACAGAGTTTACCATTCATAAATTTATAGAAACCAAACGCGTGGATGTTTGAATACCTATGTTCAGTCAAAGAACCATTGACATACTTCAGTTTCAGACCTTGATCCATAGTTCAATTTAACAATGGTAGTGTATGACATAGTAGTGAGTAAAACCAGAATCCTGTGTAATTGTATATGATCTAGAAAAGTAGTGAGTTTGGAATCATCACCTTCAGGACAATACCGCCACTTGAAGCCCCAAATGCCATGTGCCCTTCTGAGTCGACACAAATAACTCCGATAGTGTCACTAATGCAGTTCTAATCTAGGGCATTTTGCGAGGAAGACTGGTCACCATCTCTGCTTCCATTTGATTTGTCACACAATTGAGCTTCTATTTATAGAGCAAAACATTCAAACTCATTTATTAGACAGCAAATTTATTTATAAAACTGGAATTATAATATAGCATTATACGCTTATAGCCTTATACAGAACAAGTTTCCACAGTATTATATTCCACTTAAGTCAAAACAACCTCAAAAATAAATGACAGCTTTATACCTGATACTGCACACGTTTTCACAGAATTGGCTGTTGTGGAAGAAACATCATTAACCGCTTTGGCTCCATCAAGCATTCCTTTATATTTTTTCCAGAGGTTTCTGGTCTTCTCTGTCAAAATTCAGTCTCAACAACAGAAGGAATATGATTTTAACTTATTGATAAACTTGATGTATGGAGAAGTAATAACCAAGTTAGCATGTATGGAGAAAAACTTGACACTATTCATATAGACATTACTGGAAAGGGGAATAATACCACATCAGCTTCTGCTATTGTTTTTGGTAAAACAACACCTTTGGAGTTTGCCCATGCTCGAGCCGCTTCACCAAACAAAAACCTACAAAGGTAGGGAAGCTCCTTCAGAACACATTTAGACAACAAATGAGAACTAGATTTATTTTATGAAATGCAACAAGAGTTCTTCATGGTTTAGAAAGAGTAGTGATACATGGGGGGTATACGTCCTAGCAGTGTTGAACTACATATCTACTCCTTAGCTAATAATGGAGCAATTTGGATGGCATTTCTAACACCTGATAATAATAACTTCACAAAAGATATATAGTGATTACAAGTGAAAGCAAATCACACAATTCTAAGCATTCCTTTCAAATTACACTTAACAAGTTCTCAAATTCATTATTGATAAACTTCAAGAATGTTCAACAATATGACAGTAAATTCACATATATTCCTTAATCATAAATCCATAAAATTCAAGATTTAAGAACAGTATATCATAAATAACTAAAATAGTAATAAAGTACCTGTTATATTTTCATGGCCAGAGACGGTAACCGGAAAATTTTAGAAATTCGAAGCCTCGCAGGTAGATCTAGGGTTTCCTATGTATAGAGCCAGAGAGGTTAAAGAATGAATGCTTGAGCTTGAGACTATGAGTATGAGTAGATGAGGTTAGAGGGACTTACCGGAGAAGCAGAGGGACAGAGAAGGTCAGAGGGCGAGAAGAAGAGAGATAGAGACGAGGCAGTGAGCGGCGGAGAGACGGGGACAAGGATGTGAGCGGTAGAGAGACGGAGACAAGGCTGTGAGCGGTGGAGAGCCGGAGACCGAGAGATTGTCGCATGTCTGTGAGCGGCAGTCTCCGGAGATGATGGCTTGGTGAAGTCATTGAGGAGTGAGAGAGATAGGCTGCGCAGATGATGAGATGAGGCTGAATCGCTAACATAAAGCCTTTTGTTTTTTTGAGTATACATAAAGCCTTTTGTTGATTTATATATTTATATATAAACATTAAAAAAACTAATTTCAATAACTTTAGATGCCGAAAACTTTTTCCGACCACCAAGTATGAAGTGGTCGGAAATTCCGATCACTTTCCGTCCAGTCCAACTCCTTGACGGAAAAATAAAAAAATGTCACTTGTTCCGACCATTTTTGTGGTTGGTCGGAAAAGTCATCGGAAAATTGAATATTTCCAGCAGTGACTTGTGTATAATTTAAAAACTAAATGTGTCATTTTTCGCTAAAAAGTAAATTGATTTGTATAGGATGATAAGACCTAGTTATAATAGCATCTCCATTAAAGCCTGTTATCTTCTTCTTCTTTTTTTGCCTTCAAGTTGATGGAGATAGTCATTGGAAAGTCACCTCATGGCTGCTATCACAATCCAAGTTGGTTAATCTTATACGCATTTTTGGTCGTCCGAGCCAAAGAGATGACGTGAAAAGTCATAGAAAATCAAATAAATACACACGACTATACGACCCAAAAAGAATCTTAAAATATAAAAAAAGGACACGACAACAACAGTGAAAGTTCGGTGTGTTTATGGTCGCAGGAGGCTAAGGAATCAAGGTTAATGGTGACGAATCATTCTGTTGAATCTTCATGTGTGTCTCCCAATTTATCAAAATATTTTGTTTTAATTTTTTAGCTAATTGATTGTCAAATAATTGAAAATATATAATTTTTTAATATATATTATCAAATAATGTACATTCTGTACACAAACACATAATTTTGAATCAGAGTCCATAATACATGTAAGATAAACTCTGATCTATGATATAGTTTGCGGATTGAACCAATCCCAAAATTTAATATGAGTATCAATATTAGATAAGAGAATCCTACTACCCAAAAAAGCAACCATCTTTATCATTTCCAGTTCCCAAATAATCCCATTTTAAAGGGTATGGGTGGAACGGAACATTTGAAGGTGTTCAAAAAATAGAGGCCAATTATATATATATATCCCACTACATATACGTACACCCGGCCCTCACTATATATCCTCATTTCTCTCATAACATACATACATACTCTAATAACTGCACTGCAATCTGCATATATGGCTTCTCACCAAAAAAATATTTGCAGCACAGACCTTACCTTGGGTATGGGTTTTGCATCTTCTTCTTCTTCTTATTCATCCTATAATCACCTCCCTTATATCTCCAAACCTAAGACGACGTCGTCGTCGTCTGTGATCTTTGAGCCGCCGTCGCTGAATCTCAGTCTGTCCTGCGAAACCTCGGATCACGTGATGAACAAGGTGGTCTTCAACGACCAGCTGTCCGCCGCCGGTCAGGACAGCTCTACTTCCTCGTACCAGTCGAACGCCACCCCCGCTAAAAGGGAGAGGGAGATCGGTATTAACTCGGCGGCGGCGGGGGAGGAGGAGAGAGCTGCTTCGAGGATGCTCATCGTCAGTGATGAAGAGTACGATGATGGTTGTAATGTAAGGAAGAAGCACAGGCTCTCCAAATCCCAATCTGCCCTTCTAGAAGAAAGTTTCCGGCAACACACCACTCTCAATCCGGTACCATATCCCTTCATCTTCAATTCGATCCCCCTCAATCCTCAGATCAAGATCCCTTATCACTACGCCAAAAGTTATAACTAATAGCGAAAGCCAACTTTATTTACTTATATACCTGCCTAATTGAACAAGATGTTAGACTCCGTTCTCTGAGTAGCAACCCCAACACTCTAACTCAATTAAACTTGTAATTTCTCTAACCAGTTTGGTTGGCGTGAGTGGCTATATGTGCACTCTCATCCCTTAAAAAAGATCTAAATTTCAAATCCTCCTATAGAAAAATAATCTGGTCAACACTTTGTCCATTACGAACTTGAAAACCTGCTCAGACACTTCATGGTCTTGATAAGAAAAATAAAAAACTTGGAATCTCTAATGGTTTCGTCAAATTTCAGGTACAAAAGCAACAGTTAGCCAGGGCACTCAATCTTAGGCCCCGACAAGTTGAAGTCTGGTTCCAAAACAGAAGAGCCAGGTACTATACGTAGATTCCTAATTCTTTACGAGGATACTAAGCTACCCAATTTAAGGTTTTACTTTTTAAATTTTTATCTTGAGTGAGTAGAGAAACTACCACCACTATTTGTGTGCAGTGGATAAATAATCCCGTCTTGTCATTCTAATCCGTCGATAAACCAGCTAGGTTAATTGATTCAAACTAAGAAGACTAATAGTTTGCTCCCACCTACCGTTGAACTTGTAACCTTGTGTTGGTTATTTAAGATTTTTGTTTTGTTTGTTTAGTAGTTAATTACAACGTTAATTATGTATGTAGAACGAAGCTTAAGCAAATAGAAGCAGACTACGAACTGCTGAAGAAATGTTGCCAGACATTAACCGATGAGAACAGGAGGCTAAAGAAGGAGGTACAAGAGCTGAAAGCACTGAAGCTAATGAAGCCCAGCTTGTACATGCAGGCGGCGGCGCTAAGCAAGTGTCCGTCGTGTAGCGGCGGCGGCCCTGGTGGCGCCTGCAAAACCACAACCAACACCTCTTTTACTATGGCTCCCATCCCTCATTTCTACAATCCAGTAACCAGCCCCTCTGCTGCTTAGCTTCAATCTTCATTTTTAATTACTGTATGTATAATATTACTCCCAAACTTTTTTTTTTTTTTTTTTTTTTTTTTTTGTGAGGTCTAGCTTGTTTGTAAATATACGTGAACAGAATTTATTACTGCTGTTACTCTCTATAGCCCCGTGTTTTATCCTCTTATATTTACTCCACAAAATCAAATTTATCTACTAAAAAATCTATATGTATTTAATTTTCATCTGTATCTATTACTAAATTTACTCAATATTAATTGGTCCGACATAATATTTTGATGAAGTAATGCTAGGCAATTGAATGGGATTTGGCCAACTCCACAAGTTGATGAAAGTATTTAATTTATCAATAAATTTTTATAGGTATTTAGTTTTTTTTTTTTTTTTTTTTTTTTTTGCTGTACCTAGGGTTTTCACTGTTGTATACAGTGATTAATTCCCTCTAAATTATATGCACCTCTTTTGGGTGGGACAACTGACCTAGAGATAATTGAACTCTTGACATTTGATTAAGGATGAATGAGTCCATTCCACTCAACCACACCTCAGATTACAACCTAATTTAGTTGATTAGGTGAAAGTTATAGTCTTTTACAAAGTGAGATTTATCTTGAGTAGTGATTGCGAATTTTCTTAAGATTAGACAATTAAATGTGATTTGGCCAACTTGACAACTTGATGAAGGTATAGTTTCGGAAAGCATCAGATCACATCCCATAAAAGTGCACTATTAAAATGCTTCTTTATTTATTTATTTACTTTTCTTTTTTAATTTGTTGAAATTAAAGAATAAAAAATGATTGTACGATGAGTGCAATATCGTTTTGGGTTATCCAACAAGAAATGGTCATGGTCATGGTCACTTGTGTTGAAAAGTGGGGAGTTAAGCATATCCGCAATGAATGGGAAAGAAATTTCTTAATTATTTGTTTATTAAAAAATAAAACCCTTTTAGCCTTTTAGTTGATTAATTAAAAGGTGAGGCATACACAATAAATACTCATTGAAATTGTGCGATCCACTTTAGAAATTTATACTTTAGCAGTTGCCTACAATCTGGGTTAGGACCAAGGTGCGACCAGCACAATAATTAAATTTATGACTTTTTAATACAAGAATTATATTTTATTTATTCTATTGCCTTTTTGAAGTTATATTTCAATTTCTTGTATCTTAGAGAGCCGAATCCAATATCATATCATTGAACGTGATGCTAACGGCTACGCAAGTGTAAGAAAATAAAATTGTGCATTCGTTATTTATAGCTATAACTTTTGGCGTAATGGTAAGCGCTTGATCTGACAGTTGGTATTTGATATCAAAGCACTACTACGCAAGTATAAAGAAATAAAGTTAGTCTTTCAACATCTTGCCATCCACTACAAGAAAAATTGTAATTTGCGATGGAATCCATTCCGTAGTGATCGAAATTATACATTCACTAGCTATAACTTTTGGCTTAGTCGTGTGTTTGATTATGATATATTAATATTTGTATAAATCATGCATAAATTACTTTTTAATTCAAATCTGACAAGTTTAATCAATAATTATAATACAAATATGATAAATAGTGAGTTAAAGCCAATGAATAGGCTTATTAGAGCGAGGCACCCCAACCCTTGATATGCACTAGGGGACCCTACTTCATATATATATGCATCTACTCTTTATTTATTTATTTTTTTTTTAATACATACATACATATATAGTACATTAGTACGCTTATGATCTCATGACAACACTCCCGAAGAAAATTAAGAATCAATCTTAATTTTATATTTATAAAAATTGGATGGATCAGATCATATTTTAAATAAAATGTGATAATATTTTTATAATTATCGTCAACTTTATGAATTCTATCATTTCTATGACAACTAAATTTGCATTCCTGGATAACTTTTAAAAAATCCATGAAAAAACTACCTTTTAAATCTAAACCAAATAAAATCAAAAACTCAGTCATAAACTCTAAAATCCAAACTCTAGGTGCAATACACTTTAGCATTTTTGCAAGTGCAATCTTTTAATACAAAATGTGCAGTATGTTAATAATAAATGTGCATTTTATAACAACTAAATGTGCAAACCTGAAAAATTTTGAGAAGTGCAGATTTTAGTATTCTAGATTGCATAGTAAAGTTGGTGATAATTACGAAAATGTCACCACGTATTTTTTTTAAAAAAATTATGATCTGATCTGTCTAATTATTTCAGATGTAAGGTTGAGATTAGTTTTAAGTTTTCTCATAAAGACTTGTTCTAATTCGATTCAATACCTATATAAGGGCACACTCCCATGAGAATAGGTGACAAGAAAAGAATTAGGAATCAATCAAAAACAACTAGATCATATCAGAGAAAAAACAATGAGTGACATTTTTTATAAATATTTCAAAGTTTTTTTTTGAACCAAAGCCAACTCAATTCTCATTATCAGAAATTAAGGCATACTCAACAATACTATAGATTGCATTTTCAATATTATAGAGTGCAATTTAGTAAAATTACAAAATGCATCCATTAATAAATCTCCAGTAATCGAATAATGTACTTTCAGTATATAAATAATATTCCTTTAATATATTAAAAATTGGGTACATTTTATTCCTGGTCTAGAATAATGATTGAGTATCATTTAGGCAAGATTAAAATAGCTCCTGGCCATTTATCAAATATATAAATATATAACAATAAAGAACATTTCTAGCACTGGACACCTACCTCATCCCATGCACACCAAGCCAAACTATGTTCTAGCTTAGTTGTCGAAATCAAATGACAAATCAACTTTCTACCACCTACTTAAAGCATCCCATTAAGGGATTTTTCATCAATCTTTTGAAATTTTATAGTGGGGCGTACGAGATAGGTGAGATGACTAGATGAGAGAGAAAAAAGATGTTAGAGGATGTTTTAATTTGTAAATGTGAATTTTTATTTTTTATTTTTTGCGATTTTTATTTGAAATTTTTTATGAAAGAAAAACTGTTCATGTGTGGACGTGACTTGAGCGTCCAGTGAACACGTAGGGTGTTTGACACTCAAATTTCATGTGTGGACATGACAATTAAACCATTGTTGATATTTTACATACAAACGAGAAGTTTCATATTCTAAACAATGACAACTCATATTATAATTTTGTAACATTTCTTTCATTCGCTAAAATACTATTAAACTTACAACTGAACTCTAATAGAAAGAAAGAGTCTTTTTCTATATCACTATCATTAATTATTCCAACCATCACTACTAATACCTAATCCTAACACCCAATTAAGCATCCAATACCCATCAATTAATAATTAAAAAGATTATAATAATTGTAGATCCAGTGTGAACTATTCTTTTTGTAATGAGTTAAGCAAAAAGAGGAAAGATATGAGAGTTATAGGACATTGCGTAATGATATTACTGACAGGGAAAAATGTAAAAAATGGCACATTCAATCCAATCCGGTGCATGCATTGCTTTCCACTTCCTACGTGTTCTTATACCAAATTTTGAGAAGCGTCAAAAAAGAAAAATTTAAAGTTTTAGGGTTTGCTTTTTGAGATGATGGGAACACACGTAATGCAGACAAGTAAATTAAACAAATGAAGTTTTCGTTACACATGTCGACCAAAGGCAAATTTGTCGGCTGGTCTTGTCCCGCTAACCTAATCTTTTTTTGCCAAATCACTCTACTAAGTACCTAGTTTGCGTAATAACTATTATTATTATTTTAATACCACTTTTGCTCTTATCTTTTAATTAATTGGAGTAACAATGACATTTGTAGTTTTAAGTATTATTGATTTTTATCTAATCTATACTTTAGAATATCTAAAATGTAACCTGAAGTGTAGTTGAGTGAAAGAGACTCATCCATACTTAATCAAAGGTCAAGAATTCGATTCTTAACTTTGGTTTTTGAGCAGTCTTAAATCTCTAAATCGGCTGTCCCATCCAAATTAAATGACTTTGGGTATTGAGGTGCCTACAATTCAATGTTCTTTTTTTTTTTTTTTAATGCTACTAACTCTATTATATTGTAGTATCTGTTCAAATATACTTTCTCAACCTAACGAAGTACAAAAAGTCAACAACGCCTCCACTGAAGCTCGATTTCATGACCTCCCACATAGGGGAGATCACTACATGTCATTTGAGCGCAAGGTGTTTGACAGTTAATTAAGTTGATAGTTCAGGGTTGATGAATTTTGAATTTTGAATTTTGATCTTTTGAATCAAAGATGTTAGGATTAAGCACTGACTGATATGATAAGTAAGAATAAACTATATATATATATAATATGCGTGTGCACTTTCAAGTATTTCCACTTCTCCACTTGGATTCTTCTCCACTTCTCGTACTGACACCACAATCCACTGTGTCTGGCTTTCGATATTCTTGTCCAATTTTATTTAATTTTACTAATTAAATTTTAAAAATACAAAGCTAATCCAATCTTACCATGCCAAGTTGTATATATATCCAATTTTGGCATACCTTAACACAGAAATGGTCCAGCAAATGTTAAGAAGCCATACATATACACGAGTTAGTGAAACTTCAACGTACAAATAATCACACTGCAAATTTCTCGAAACCAACTTAGAGATGAACTGTTTGTTATTTGATATTTGAGTTTGTACTTTGTAGTATTAGAAATGCTAAACTACTTTTCTTTTCTTCTTCTTTTTTTCCTAGGGACGAGAGAATTGAAACATATAATGACTATACTCGGGTATGTGAATAAATCATACTATTATGTAATAATCTGTAAGTTATACAAGAAAAGTAAATTGCACTAGAAAGATCCCGACTAAACTAACCTATATCAAAGTTTATCTTGCAAGATGGACCCGTATTAGGATATAACTATTGCATATTCCACACTCCCTAGTAGTTACTGCCTCTGATCTGTCTCATTTTGCCTGTAATGTTTACTATTCATTGGTCAAACCAACGCTTTCTTTATTGCTTATTTCTTTAGTCATTTTGTTTACTATTTTTAAATTTAATTTTGTGTTTTTTTTTGAAATAATAAACGATTACAAATAGGACCGATAGAATGGTATACCGTTCATTACAGTCATACATAGAAACAACTTCCCTAGCAATGTTACAAAGAACTTGAATCGCAGACTGTTTCACAAATTTGAAGCTAAATTTGTTAGATGAATTTAACGCTTGTTTAATATCATTGAAGAATTGATCAAACGTAGTCAAGAGTAATTTTGGTTGAAAAGTCTTGCACACCACCTGAGTATATGTTTTCCATCTGTCGTTCATTGACAATATATCCGTCGAGCTGAGATGCATATGCTCTTTTACATTGTCATCTTTGTCACCCACGATAAAGTTCACATACGTCATGTCCAACTTATATGTTTCACACTTATGAAGATAAGAACTCGCCAAAAGAAACGAGAGTAAAACAAACCCTCGCCAAAAGAAACGAGAGTAAAACAAACCCTCGCCAAAAGAAACGATAGTAAAACAAACTCGTCACACAAACGAGAGAAAAACACAGAAAAAGCAGAACACAAAAGAAAAGAGAACCAGCAGTACACCTCTTGAACTTTATTTTACGGATCCACGAGAATCAAACCATTTCTTTATCCAGATATGGCGGAATCCTTAAGCTTTAGATCTTTGGAACTACCGCAACTTCCTTGAAGGGTTGGTGGTTGAATCGGCACTGGACTTTATTATGAAACTAAAAAAAAAAAAAAAAAAAAAAAAAAAAAAAAAAAAAACAAAAAACAAAAAACAAAAGAAAATAGGAGATCACCGGCCAAGAAAAGAAGCTCAGTCAAAGGCTCAAAGCTTCGGCCAGAGGCCGCCGGCCACTAGATGAAGAAACGCCCAAAAAAGAAGCAAGGTTTCGTGAGACCTTTAATTTTGTGTTTAATAGTACATCTAATGTAGTTTGTAAATATATAAATTTTATATACTAGTTCTAAACTTAATATTATGAAAAATTGAATTAAAAATAACTTCGGTCAAGTTTCCTTAACCAAACCAGACAAACAAAATAGGACAGAAGGAGTACATGGCTAACATGTATGGAAAATTATACAATGGACCAGAGTCCACCTTATAGTGGTCCCTAGTCCAAAATCACATTCAAATTATATATTCATTGTAGACACATGGTTGTACTTAACATATTATTAACAGTTTTTTTAAACTGAGAACGCATAATATGTTAATTACATACGTATACTTTTAAAGTAGAATCTATAATACAAAGTAGATCCTTATCCATGGTATAACAATTCAACATGTACGTACCATAACGTCGTGTTAACTTTAGCAGGACAATTACAGGGCATTTGGTTGGAAGGAGGAAATTAGGGGGGAAAAGAAATTGTAATTCAGTAGGAAAAGAATAAAGTGAGAATTTAAATTACATTGTTTGGTAGGAAGGAGTAGGATGATAGGGAATTGAGAGGGAAAAAGTAAAATAAATACATGAATGCCCTTATATAATTTTAATATATTAATATAATAATAATAATGAGGGTAAAGTGATAATTTACAATGTAATTACAATTCCACAAGGAAAATTCTAGAAATTACAATTCCATGAAATTATAATTTCCTCCAATCAAACCATGGAATTGTAATTTCACGGAATTTGGTATGAATGGAATTGCAAATCCATCTTACCAAACAATGTGGTGGCCCAGAATCACTTGAACTGTGCCCAAATAAGTGTTGAATTGATCGAGTAGCTATGGTGGAATCATATAAAGTTTTGGGTTTTAGCTATAAAGAAGGCCCAACCTTTTTGTCAAAATGGGCTTCTGCAACATGAAATATGCTCTCATGGAGCTGGATATGGTGTAAGGGTGGTCCAACATTATATTCTCAAAACTTTTACATTTTTTTTTAGGAGTTTTTTGCACTTTTAGTCCCACGACTATAGTGGCACTGACAGAATTGATCCACGACTTTTGAACCTTGTAATTTTAGTCCACGACTATTGATTTTTTTGTAAAAATGGTCCTTCCGGCCACTTTTCCGTCAAAATTTCACCGGAAAAAAAAAATCTCCATTTTTAACCAGGTTAAAATTGACATTTTACTTATCTCAAAAAATTGATATTTGACTACATACAATATTACTGGGATATATACTACTGCCCCAGGCAGCGGAGTACATGTACCACTTCAATGTTACTGCCGGATAACCCAACTAGCCCGGGGAACGCCACGGCCGCTCCGCCGCTTACTGACGGCCTTATCATGTATATCTATCTAATATTGTTTTATGTATCTATCTAATATGACGGCCTTATCATGTCCCGGGGAACCAATGCTGCTGCCGGATAACCCAACTAGCCCGGGAAACGCCACGAACGCCTGGGGCAGTAATATATAGCCCAGTAATATTGTATGTAGTCAAATATTAATTTTTTTCTTTTAATTTTTTGAGATAAGTAAAATGTCAATTTTAACCCGACTAAAAATAGAGAATTTTTTTTTTCCGGTGAAATTTTGACGGAAAAGTAGCTGGAAGGACCATTTTTGCAAAAATATCAATAGTCGTGGACTAAAATTGCAAGGTTCAAAAGTCGTGGATCAATTTTGTCAGTGCCACTATAATCGTGGGTCTAAAAGTGCAAAAAACTCTTTTAGTAACAGCCGAACATTATACTAATTCGAGTTTGTACATATTTAATTCACATTCACATATATTTCATCTAATTTAGACCATTAAACAATATTAGATAGATACACCTGATTTACAATATTAGATAGATACACATGATTTGTTCTTACATTCTCACCTAAGTGTTCTCATCCTAAATCTATATATATACTATTGAAAAGCATTTAATGCCACTTATGACAGTATTGAGTTTTTTTTTCTTTTCTTACTATTGAAAAGCATTTAATGCCACTTATGACACTATTGAATTGTTTTCTTTCCGTTAAAGACTAATATGAAAGAGAACTTCAAAATGAAAAAATGTCAAGGAAAATTTTAAAAATGTAAATGTACAATCCAAAAATAAATTGATACAATATATTATACCAACAAATAGAAAATTACAGAATACTACATACTACATTATAATAGAGTTTTTCAAAAAAAAAAAAAAAAAAAACATTATAATAGAGTCAATAGTACTAAAAAAAAAAAAATGATTAGTAATTTTTTTCAGTACATTACGACGCTGTATCAGTCACGCTGCCGGTCAGCGATGAAAACAATGGTGAAAGTCCGCGTACAGAGTTACAGACAAGAAATATCTTCACTAAATACCAAAAAAAAAAAAAAAAAAAAAAAAAAGAGGCTACTCCGCGTAAATCTTACCCTTCTCATAAAATAATACTTATAAATCAAAGCAATAATAATAATGAAATGAAAGTTTGAATCTTGATGATCATTTTCCCTTTAGCACATGTAGTTGTATATTCTACTCCGTCTATATATTTGCAGAGACTAGTGGAGTTAGATCTAATCTGGGATTGGGATTGAAGAGAAAGTGTAGCCATCACCACCATTCTGAAAGTTTTCATTTGACCTGCTGAAAGTCTACTCTTCACCTACCGAACCACCATTATCGTCTTCAAGAAGTGTGGGTCTGTCCTGTTTTTGGTGGTGTAGTTGAAGATCTTGAATTGGGATGTGTAGTTTAACTATTGGCTTAAATTAGCTATAAAGCTGCAAACTTTTGGCCCTTCCAAACAAGGGATTCACAGGACTTGCTTCCAGTGGGTAAGGTATGGCTCTCACTTCTGTTGCATTGTGAAGATTTGATTTGATTATATTTTCCCTTTTCATGCTTTTTCAATTCTTATCTTGATTTGGTTAGTGGGTTTTCCAGATCTGTTTGTTTTCAGTTCTTTTCTGCGGTTCAATGTCTGTTCTCTGGTGTTATTGAGCATTTGCATTGGTATTTCACTATGGACCAAAGTGATAATCTTTTTTTACCTCTTTGTTCTCATTCATCTGGAGATGGATAAGTGGTTGATTGTCTGTTTGCAAGAATTTAGAATGAATAGTTATGCAACTGAGGATAAGAACAATCTTGGTATTAAGATTTAAGGATTCTTGGGTGAAGCAAGTTTAAGAATACCATAAACCCTAGAGTCATAAGATTAGTCTAATATGCAGCTGCTTTCTAACTGGTAATCAGTTAGATTTGGCTGAGATGGGCACTTGCAAAGTCAGATCTTGCTCACAAAAGGCGAAATTCCCTTGTTCTTGGGCCCCACACCTCAGCCTGTGCGACAGGATCTTGCTCACAAAAGGCAAAATTCCCTTGTCCTGGGCCCCGCACCTCAGCCCGACAGGATCTTGCTCACAAGACGAAATTCACTTGTTCCTAGGCCTCACACCCCGGCCTGACAGGATCTGTGTACACAGCATTGATAACATAAATGTTTAATCACTGCACTGTTTGAATTTTTAATCAATCTTGGTGGATTTCTGTCTACTGGTGGGAAGCACCATTTTCTAAAGATTTGATCATATTGCCAGTGTGTAATAAGGAATAATCTTTCCCTTTTGCTTCTGGTTAATTGTTTCTCCTTTTGCCAATCCTCAATGTGTATATGTTTCTTGCCAGTCATACTGGATTTGGTTGCATGATCAAAAAATCTGCAGTTCTAAGTGTGTATATTTCTTGCCAGTCATACAGAATTTGGAAGGCGGTTTCAACATTCGCACAGTTTTCGAAAGCAAATCGTCATGTTCAGGACATCGCCACGTAGAAACCAGAGGAACAAGGGATTCAAGGTGAAGCATGCTCTTCAAGTATGTGTACTCGTAGGCGTTTGCATTTGGCTGCTGTACCAAATCCAGCAGTCCCGCGATGCAAAGCCATCATATGGAGGAAGCACGAGCGTCTCAGAGAAGGTAGAGAGTGGGAGTGATCTCAGGTTGGGTAGGAAGGACCTGATGAAGCCTCGTATCGAGGAAGTAACTACTGAAGATTCTGCGGGGAATGTGGAGCAAGATGAAGAGGAAGGCAAGAGTTTTGATGATGAGAACAAGCCTGGAGAGATTGAAGAAAATGAGCATAGAGATAATGAATCAGAGAAAGAGAGTGAAGAAAGGGATGTTTCAGAAGTGAAAAGAGGAGAAAATGGAGAGGCAGAAAGGAAAGAAAACACAGAAGGTGGTGAAGATGAAAGCACTGAGAAGGAGAATGAATCCAAGGAAACCGGGGAGGAAGACAGCCAAAAGGAAAACAAAGAGCAGAATGGAAACGAGGGCGAAGAAAATAATGAAACAGAAGAGAAGACTGAGAATGGAAGTGAGAGCGAAAAAGGGAATGAAACAGAAGAGAAGGGGGAGAGCACAGAAACGAGTGAAAATGATGGTGAACAGAAGGAAGTTAAAATAGAGGAAAATGGTGATGGCAATGAAAAGCAAGGGGAGAGCAAAGAGAATGGAAGTGAGGAAAAAATTGAAAATGCAGGTGAAAAGAAGGAAGAAAAGGTAGAGGAAAACGGTGATAACAAAGAGAATGGAAGTGAGGAAAAAATTGAAAACGCAGGTGAAAAGAAGGAAGAAAAGGTAGAGGAAAACGGTGATAGCAAAGAGAATGGAAGCGAGGAAAAAATTGAAAACGCAGGTGAAAAGAAGGAAGAGAAGGTAGAGGAAAACGGTGATAGCAAAGAGAATGGAAGCGAGGAAAAAATTGAAAATGGAGGTGAAAAGAAGGAAGAGAAGGTAGAGGAAAATGCTGATAGCAAAGAGAATGGAAGCGAGGAAAAATTTGAAAACGCAGGTGAAAAGAAGGAAGAAAAGGTAGTGGAGAACGGTGATAGCAAAGAGAATGGAAGCGAGCAAAAAATTGAAAACGTGGGTGAAAAGAAGGACGAAAAGGTAGAGGAAAATGGTGATAGCAAAGAGAATGGAAGTGAGCAAAAAATTGAAAATGAAGGTGAAAAGAAGGAAGAAAAGGTAGAGGGAAACGGTGATAGCAAAGAGACTGGAAGCGACGAAAATATGGAAAATGGAGGTGAAAAGAAGGAAGAAAAGGTAGAGGAAAACGGTGATAGCAAAGAGAATGGAAGCGAGGAAACAAGTAAAAATGGAGGTGAAGAGGAGGAAGCTAAGGTAGGGGGAAATAGTGAAAACAAGGAAGAAAATAAGGAAGTTCAGGTAGATGAAAATAACAAGAGCAAAGAGAATGGAGGTGAAGAGAAGGATGCTAAGGTAGAGGAAAACAGTGAAAACAAAGAACAAAAGGGGGAGAGCAAAGAGAATAAAAGTGAGGAAAAAAACGAAAATGGAGGTAAAAGTAAGGAAGTTCAGGCTGTGGAAAACAATGAGACAAAAGATGAGACCAACAAAGAAAGTTCAGCCCAGAATGAGGTTCAAGAAAGTCATAGTGTTAATGAAGTTGTGGGCGGAGAAAATCAATTGTCGAATTCAGCATCAAGTGAAGGCGCGGGCAATGAACAGCACCAAGAACAAAACTCTACCCCCGGATCTACACAAACTGGCCAAACTGCTGATACTAGTGGGGATGGTGCAAATATTGTCAAAGAACAAAGTGAGAAAAAGGATGTTTCGAACACTGGGGATTCAGGTTCAAACTCAAATTCAGAATCTACATCTGGTGGACAAAATGGCAACTCAGGCTCAGCCGGCACAACAGAGAATGGTGCTAACAATTCACCCGTAGATCAGAATACCAATCCCAATTCTGCCTCAAACGACAACAACAAAATACAAAATCCTGGTGAAAACAAATCAACAGACTCTTCAAGCTCAAATGGGAATACAGATAATGCCCAACATAACCAAGCTTAACTGTTCCACTTCAATTCCCCAGGAAGAGAATGACGCTGGTACAGATTTGGGTAGTTTGCCACGCTCAGCAACTGAAGAAAATAGCCATACAGATGCTTCTGCAAAGTTATAGATTGTGCTTTTCTTTTAAAGGTTTAAAGGTTTTAGGCATGTAACATTAAAGTTTCATTTGATTTTGTTTTCTTTTCCACATGTTATCAAATGGTAAAGGGCTATTGAAAATTACAATTTCTTCTTGCTACTTCTTAGTCAGTATGCCTTATGACAATAGAAAAATAAAACATCTGTGAATTCACTTCAAATATATAATATCATATATCAATGAAACCCAAAAAAGAAGTATGAAAATTTTAAGCCAAATGAAATCAAAATTATCATTGAAGCATATATATGAAATTGCATTCCCAACCTCAAAATGAGGCAATAGGTTCTTGATTCAGGGTCGAAGTGCAAAAGAGATTCAATGAAATCATGAAAGTAGATCTGAAGCCTCAGCATAGATGAAGAAAGAGGATAAAAAAATTAACATCGTTCATTGATCAAATTATTCCTAGAGTCTTCTCAGAGATGTCTGCAACAATCAATGGTGCTTTACCTCAAAAAGGCCATCTGGACCTGCATTTACAAAAGATAGGTTGACGATCAATGCTATCTCCAAAAACCATAAGCAACCAATTAGTTGTGACATCAATGTGGATGATAGTCACCAAAGATTGTAAAAGACGTTAACAATCAGCATTTTGTTCAATAAACATCACTTTTAGAATCACAAATACAATATCATTAATAGCATTCAAGGTTCCTCGGGGGTCAAAATCTAAAACACAATGATCAGCAATACATAACTACATCACCAATACACAGACACAATGTTTATATTTTCCACTAACATAGAACTAGGAACAAAGTCCACCCACAGAAAATTTTGAAACCAATAAAGAAACAACCAACTGAGTCATGCAACTATTAGAATTCAGTAGGAATACAGGTAAAGGAAGAGTAATCAAGTCAAATGTTCAGTAAAATCCAATAAACTTTGAGACAAAAAAACTTACCCCATGGAAACTCCTTATTGCGAATGTGCATGTATGGATATGCCTAAAATCACAAGAAGAAAATGTATGATATCAGGAAATAAGACTCTAATCAAAATGGAGAACATATACTATGACCAATTCAGTTTAGTTTGGATTTACACCTACGTTTTCCATCTAGCATTGATAATTAGATATACACGATAGATAAACTCAAACACATACAATCTGGAATACAAAAATTAAGATCCTGTACTGTAAAAATATATGATAGGCATCTTACAGGGGGTTCCTCGAAGTGGGGATGACCCTTGGAAAGATTAACAGCTGCCAGGATAGTACACGCGACTATTCCAGCATAGGTGATTTTCTCCCACTTTGAAGCTTCGGCTGCGCTCAAATCATTACAAACAATTCGAATTGAATCAATTACAACGACACAAACATCTACAAACACAAATTCCTAATCTCACACCGGAAACACACAAAAATGATTATATTACACGAAATGACATTCGGTGTATACATCTCATACACCAGATCAAGCGGAAGGGATACAAAAATCATCTCAAATAACACGACGGGATATCGAGGATAACAAAAGCCCTAAATCTACACGTAAATTTAGATGAGCCCGTGAAATGTAAAATACTAAAATCTACATCGTACTCGATTACGACGAATAATGAAGAGACAAAAAGATGTGCAAAGCCAGGGAAACGAAAATCGATAGCGATAAAAATATAAAAAAAAAAAAAAAAAAAAAAAAGGAATATGAACTTACCGGCCTCGTCATGATGGGCGGAGGAAGAAAAGCTACGCTTAGAAGCCGGAGCCCGGCGAGAAACGCCACCGCGGAGGGCGGAGCGGATGCTGGATCTCACAATCGTCGACGCCATTCTCTCTCAAATTGACTGACCTTTTGGCTTTTGCGTCTGCGTTCTATAAGACGCAAGCCGGCAGGTTATTCACAGGCTTTGGCACGCTACCTGTTTTCGGCACGTGTAAATATTTCATCTAATTCACATTTTGACCCTTCTAAGCTTTTGAAATTCTCGAAATTTTAGCAACAGAAATTTTTGATAGAGTCAATTCACAGGTAGGCCACAATTCTGATTCAGAATTTCAGATTCCATTTGAAGCATAGATTTGAACTCTTCATTTTTTTATTTATTTTTTTAATATTTTCAATTTCAGAGTTCTAAATTTTCACGCATTAATATATAATAATTATTACTCCGTATTACATAATTACTGATATACTATATGTCTATATATATCATTGATACATGAAAATATTGATTAATACATATTAATATATAGTAATATAATAATTTAATATATACCATGTAATTAATGCATTCTAATATATACATATATTGTAATAGTTGAATTGAAACGATACATTAATTTTGAAACTACAGTATATATATAAAAACGGAATAATAATTTCACATATTTAAGTATATATTGTCTAATAAAATCGTAGTTGATGGTACTAGTTTGGGGACCCATAGAGTTGTTATTTGGTGTACAGAGACATTATTGGAGAATTTGGTGGTAATACTAGTGGCTTTAATAAATGGGTTTCATTATGGACAATCAAGACCCCTCCCAAATGGAAGACATTTTTTTGAAAAGTTCTAAATAATATTATTCCCACAGTTCAAACCTGCTTATAAAGATGGTGGATGTGTATTCATCATACTCAATGTGTGGAATTTCTCATGAAGACACAATGCATGCTCTAATTTTGTGTGATTTTGCCCAACTTCTGTTGGAGATGAATTTTCTTGACAATCTCGTGTGTTGTTGGCAATGATTTTTCCATATGGTTTAGTCATGCTATGGATGTCCTTACTGGTGACACCTTTGTACTTGTTGTCGCAGTGTTATACCAACTTTTGAGGCCGGGCTCAGAATTTTGTGTTTGGGATACTTACCTACTTCGACCACGTCGGGTGTGGCAAGCTGCTCTCGCTGCTGTCAATGCTTGGCGGCAATTTCATGCTATACGGAGCAGGGCCATTCTCGTGTCCATCGTTCTCAACCCCAACAGTCTGCTTCTTTCGATGGCTTGCTGATGATGTCAACCTGCTGCTTCTTCGACGCCGGATTCAGTCCATCCTCAAGGAAATCCACGTTTAGTGATGCGCTGTTGTCATCGAATGGGAATTTTATTGATGCTGTTAATGGTCCCTTACCGAGTTACGATGGCCCTCATATGGCAGAATCCTTAGCTTGCAAAGAGGCCTTATCGTGGCTCAAGGGTCGCGGGATGTCATCGGCGGCTCACCTATTCACGAATTGCTCCAGTCTACATGGTTACCTAACGACTCTTAACATTGATCTCCGTTTTTATTTGACATTATTATTGACGATTGTAGAGTTGTCATGTCCTCTTTTCTTAATTGTCCAGTTAGTCTAGTTCCTAGATCGTCTAAAATGATAGCTCAGACTCTAGCATCTATAGCTTATAGTCAGGTTAACACATTGTACGGGACTCCATCCCTCCTGACTTCGTTTCGGCATTTTTGTAGTAATCTATTCCAGCTTTTTTGCCTTAAAAAAATGTAGTTGAATTAGAATTATAATTTAGTGGTGTTGTAATAAGACTACAGTGTGTATAAAATAAAATTCAATAGTCTCACTGTATTAATACTATTGTATTGTATAATGTCAAATGAAACTGTAGTTGAAATAAAATGAAACTTTAGTTGTACTGAAATGAAATTACAATGTATATAAAATGAAACTGAATATGTTATATATAGAACTAATTACATGGATCGGGTGCTCTTTCTTTTCATTAAAAGAAATAACATCGTTTTGGACAATGGTCCACAGTAAAATTTGCCTCATATGTTGGGCCGGACCGGTTCAGTTGTCTTGCACGATAAAACAATGCGGTCCATGACCCTGTAAACAGGCTATTGGAGAGTTGGTCCATATTTTTTTTTTTTTTTTTAAGCTTATATTTATTGAGCTATAGTAGACTAGTAGAGTTTAGACATTTTTACATTAGTTATTTCTCACCTCACATTATTTATCATTTATTTACTTATTATCTATTACGTTTAAGCCCTTAAATTATAAATGGTATGCCATTCCTCCATTATGTAGTAGTGTTGCGTTGAATTCATCAAATGAATTATATTCTTCTTTTTCAAAAAAAATAATAATATATGTTTTTAAAAAATATAATTATATAATTATATGTTTTTAAATAATATAATAATATATGTTTATTAATAAATACTTTTTAAATAATGATAGTAGTAAATTAAATCTAGGGTGTGATTGAGCAAAAGCCAGAAGTGACTCATCCATTTTTAATCAAATATCAAGGGTTCGATTCTTGCCTTTGGGTATAGAGTATCTTTAAATCTTTAGGTCTCACCCATTAGAGGTGCCAATTCAACGAAGAAATTAATCACAATATCCGACAGTGAAAACTCTGGATACATCAAAAAAAAATAATAGTAGTAAATTATTTTTAAATAACAACAACAACAACAATAATAATAATAATAATAATAATAATAATAATAATAATAATAATAATAATAATAATAATTATTATTATTATTATTATTATTATTATTATAAAAAATACAATATAACATAAATTATTCAATTTGTTCCAAAGACAATAATACCAACCCTACAAGTCTAAGAGCTACAAGTCAAGTGTTGGGACTTGATCATTGATGGATTATTATTATGTTTTCAAGTGTTTTGACTAAATTCATTGACTCAGAACTACATTCTGACGTGTTGTGCGGCTTGTTTTATCGACTATGTTTTTCAAGATAAAAATATTAAATATCAATAATAATGTTTCTTCAAATATGATTGTAATTATTTAGTTCAAACTTTCGGCTAATTTAGAAATTCAAAATGTCCCACTAGTGTTCCTTTCAAGTCAATGCCAAATGCTAGGTGCCTAACTCTAACCAAATGCTTGTGGTTTAGTCAAAACAAACCCTCCGTAGTTGTTTGGCCAAACAATATAATGTTGGCAAATTATGCCCGGGACCCGTGTCCACATTGAATTGTGGACACGGGCCCAAAACGACGTCGTTTTTTAAAAAAAACGCGTCATTTAGTTAAAAAAAAAAAAATTTCGCGCGCGTTTTGCCGTTAACGGCGTTATTTTTTTTTTTTTTTTTATTATGAATGTACAATTATGCCGTTATGAATGTACAGTTATGCCGTTATGAATATACAGTTATACAATTATGAAATTATGAACACAGAGCTCTAACATTATGAACTTACAATTATGAACATATATAGTGATAAAATTATGACCATGGAGCTTTAAAATTGTGAATATAGAGCTTCGAAGATTATGAATGTACAGTTATGGAGTTATGAATGTACAGTTATAGAGTTATGAATCTACAGTTATGGAGTTATGAATCTACAGTTATGAGATTATAAATCTACAGTATGGAATTATGAATGTACAGTTATTGATCGAATTATGAACAAAGAGCTCTAACATTATGAACTTACAATTATGAACATATAGTGATAAAATTATGAACATAGAGCTCTAAAATTGTGAACATAGAGCTTCGAAAATTATGAATGTACAATTATGGAGTTATGAATATACAGTTATGGAGTTATGAATGTACAGTTATGGAGTTATGAATGTACAGTTATAGAGTTATGAACGTACAGTTATGGAGTTATGAATGTATAGTTATTAACATATAGTAATAAAATTATGAACATATACTATTACAATGAAGCGGTCTGAAATTTAAAAAAAAAAAAAAAGAAAAAAAAAGGAGATAACAGTGCCTAACGGCACTGTTACCCGTGTCCAGCAAGCATGCTGGACACGGGTCCAACGCATAACGATTGTATAATGTTGGACCATTTTTCCTGGTTTATTTGAATTTTAATTAGGTATTCGTCATATTAAAAAACTTTTGAATATAAATCAAACACGCACAAGGAAGTAAATCAGCCTAAATTACTTATAAGTATCTGGCTCAAATCAATTAAGAAGGACGAGATTCGAACTCGTGGCTTTGTAATTATAAGTTTGTATTTTTGTTTTGCTCTTTGTATGGTAAAAAGGTAAGTGATCCTTTCTACATTTTAATTAAGACTGGAAGAGAGGATGATGCCACTGCCTATCAATCATGTTATTCATCATCATCTTCAAATTATTATTATTATTATTATTATTATTATTATTATTATTATAGAGAAATTACATTTTTCGACTCTATGTTATATGATAATTCTAGGTACTCACAAGTCACACCTAAGTTATCATTGGCGTTGTACTTTTCATCATTTTATTAACTTTATGGGCTCACTTTTCGTCTTTAAGTTATACTAAAGTTGCAAATTTTATCCCTAACATTTTGTTAGTAAAAGGACGAAAACTTACACGCTAATGATAACTTAAGGACAAAAAGTGAGCATGACCAATCATTAAAGACGAATTCTACCATTATCATATAACTTAGGGACAAAAAATGTAATTTTTCCACATTTTATACTGTAATGTATTGATATGATATCCTAACAAGTGAACGAATTTCCCAAGGTTAAGTATTATCTTATAATCTCTTATAGAGTTACTATGAGATCCTATATTTTATTACTCATTACAGATTAAAACGATTTAAGCTAAGACAAAGTAATATTAGTTAAGTGCCCTTCATATAATAAATTGATGGATGATAATAAGAATATGTTAGAAGTTATATTCCTCGTGACAAATGACAAATAGTTGATGATGATCCGATCCCGAAAGAATGATATGATGAGCATGCATGTTATATTTAGAAGACAATCCGGCAGAATGAATGAGGGTCAGGAAACCAGAAGCTACCAACCTTAAATTATATATATTGTCTGACATTTTGCATTCATTAATTCATCTCGCTGTCTGTTGTTTATTTCACGTCAAAAGCTATCTTCCAAGGAGT